GATAGGAACTTATTTTTTCATTTAACCTTAACATTAAGTTTTTACCTCCCCTATTATTTTAAAATTAATTTCTCTATAATTTCCATACATCTATCTCTTTTAGGATATCTTTTCATTTGCATGAACCCACTAAATGTTTTCTTCTATAAGTTAAATATCCCTTATTCCATTAGTTGTTCCTTACCTATTATGGCTTCAAGTTTATTCACTATCCTTGTTTCTTCCTTAGATATAGCTTAAATTATTAGTGTCCCTTAACAAAGTATTGTTCTCACAATTATGTGTAATACTGCAAGATCAACTACTAAGTATTCCAAATGGTAGGACTACTTCATAGTAAGCACTTTGTTCTAGAATACATTTCTTAATCTTACCTGAGATCAAATTACTTTATAGAGGCAGGTGCGTCACACTGTTCACCAAGACTCAGGCCAAGTAAATGCTCATTCTATACTTGTTCTTGTGTAGTTTAATATATGTGACATTTACTTTGATAGTTGTTTTATATTAATTGGGCAGGACATCTGTAGAATTTTATAGGACCCAGGGATGAGCTTCAGGGCTTTCGAACCCATGCGTGCATGTGTACCCATGTGTGTTTTTCTGGCTGGACAACTTTAATTAGATTCTCTAAGAGATTACTGATCCTTAGAAAAAAAATTCAAACTACTGTTAAATCCGCTTATTGTTCTAGTCACTACCTTTTGGGACCCCAGTTCTCTAATCATCATTACCTATCACTCATAGCTTTATACCTTCTGAAGAAATAAATATTTCATCATGTCTTTGTCGAATTGACTGATAATATGAATTAAATAGCAGAGCTTTCACTTCTAGCAATTGTAGACTATGTGACCAGATAATTGTTCTTTCTGAGAATAGAAAGTCTGGAGAAAGAGATCTAAGAGAGAAAGGAAACCAGAAACAGTGAGCCTCACATTTGTAGCTCAGTTTCCCTTGGAGGTGTCTACTGATTCCAAATGCATGGCTGAAAGTTAAGTGAAGCAGAGCTTGGCTGATGGCCATGT